GAGGTAGGTTAGGAGCTGGGTGGACTGAACAAAATCCATCAGTGAGCAGGCTATTTTTGAGTAAGTGCCACATGATAACATTGTCAACTTTTCATCATTTTGCTGATGATTAAGAGTTTGCTGTTGAGGTAGTAATTTGCTGGGTTAGATTTGTCCTTTTTTTTGTGTTCAGGACATACCTGAGCAGCTTTCCACATTGCTGGTTGTATGTCGATGTTGTAATTGTACTGGAACAGCTTGTATAGTGGTCTGGCTTGTTCCATAGCACAGGTCATCAGTACTATTGCCAGAATGTTGTCAGGGTCCATAACTTTTGCACTATCTTGTGCCATTTCTTGGTATCATGTGGAGTGAATCAAAATGTTAGCATCTGTGATACTGTGATTCTCAGGAGGAAGCCAAGATGAATGCAAATATTTCAATGTTATATTTTGAACAGATGCATTGCATTCCCCCATCGTTGAAGATGGCAATATTTGTGGAGCCCCATTCTCCTGTCATTTATTTAATTACCGATATTCATTCATGACTGGATGTGGCAGGACTGCAGAGGATCTGATCTCTTGGCTGATTAACTAGCTCTTGGCTGCTTAGTACATAAAGATCTATTGATTTGTTGAGTAGCTACAGAAATCTGCAGTAAAGAAATTCGAAGAATCAAAACCCTCTGAATGGGGACTCTTCTCCTTATTTCAGTCCTTTGTTCTGAATTTGTCAAAATTATTTCTGAAGCCTTTGATGAAATGATGGATAAAGGAATTTCATTTAATATGCTCAGCAGTGGGCAAGTTCTTCCAGACACGTTCAATTTACTGTCCAAAGGCATGACAATATTAGTCTTTGCTGAGCACTTCTAAGACTTTATAAAGGGTTTCTGGCTGATTTTCCTTTTGAGATATTTTCTTGTTCCAATGCAACCCAACAATTCTGGGACACTTTTATAAACTAAAGATGTCTTAAAAAATCTGTATGTTGCTGTTGTTATCTTGATAGATGAACTGGCCTTAAATCTGATATCAAATGCAGAGAGCTGAATCAAATTCCTTTTCCATTCTTAAGAAATCATATAATTAAACTGATTCTTAGAAATGGTTATTTGTTCTTTTGAAGGGCCCTGAAGCCAAAAAGGAAAACATCTGTTGAAAATGTTAAGGAATGAGATGTGCCAAAATCTAATATTGTTGTGCCTATGTTATAAATGTAGCAAAGCTGAAATCGTGGGTAATTTAGCAGAGAGATGGCTCATTTTTGATTTGTGCGTATGTTTAAACTGCTAAAAAATGTGCAAGGACTTTTCTTTAGGCAGAATCATATCATTCTAATAGTACAGATGGAGGCCATTCAGCTTATTGTATCTGAGCATGGCTTAATTTATTACCACTCTCTTGCCTTTTCCCTGTTATCCTGAACATTGTTTCCATTTAAATAATCAGCCAAAGCCCTCTTGAACACCTCAGTTGAACCTACCTCCACTGCACTACCAGGCAGTGCATTCTAGACCCTGACAAAAAGTCTCTCATCTCTTTTCTCATCTTTCATTCACTTCTTTCAGAAAACACTTTAAAATTGTGCCTCTGGTTCTCAATCCATTTAGAATGGGAACAGATTCTCCTGTCTACTCTGTCCAGACTTCTCGTGATTTTGAAAACTTGTATCAACTCTCCTTTTAACCTTCTCCTCTCCAATGAAATCAGTTCTGACTTCACCAAATTTTTGTCATAACTGAAGTGTCTCAGCCCTAGAACAATTCTTGACTGTTCTGCGCCCTCTCCGATGGACTCGCATCTTTCCTATACTGTGCAGCCCAGAACAGTATATATTATTCCAGCTGAGTTATTAATCTTTTAGATAAGTTCATCATAAACGTCTTGAATTCTATCCCCCTGCTCATGAAGCTGTTTGCTTCATTAACAGCTTTGTCTATGTGACTTGCCACCTTCAGTGAGTCACGTACATTATAAGTACACATAATAGCTCCTACTCACTGTGCTCTGCTCCTCTTTATTTTACACTGAGTCTCCATTTCTTTGTATTAAAATGCATCACCGCACACTTCTCTGCATTGAACATCATCTACCACCTATCTACCCGCACCAGCAATGTGTCACTGTCCTTTTGATGTTCTACACAGTCTTCCTCACAGTTTATTATTCTTGCAAGTTTTGTGTCATCTACAAACTTTGAAATTGTCCCCTGCACACTAAGATCTGAACCATTTATGTATATATACATATACTGAGCCCTGGAACTCCACTGCAAATCTACTTCCAGCCTGAAAAATACTCATTAACCATTATTCCTTCTTTCCTATCCCTCGGCCAATTTTTGTATCTAAAAATTTGGAATCGATGTAGCTTTAGTATCAGCCATAAATTAGTGCAGATTTCATTTCATTTTGATTCCCAAATGGAAAGAAGAGAGTTCCTAATTTCTTTTTGCAATGGTTGATAATGGTAGTCTGAGAGGAGTGGGTTTCAGAGGAATTGAGGAGGGAAAGAGGTAAACTGTGAGGAAAAAAAAGCACAAGAGGTAGAAACTGGGAATGTGCTTTGTGGTTGGAGGACTGAGAATTATTAGAGGGTGGAGTCGAAGGGAAGATGGTGTTCCAACAATAACTGAATCTGAAAACAGTGCCAGCATTAACTAAATGTTCAGAAACATTAAACACGGGATCAGAAGGGAGTGCCAGGAATAGCTGGAGCAACAACGAGAGTGCCAGCAATGAACAGGAATTGAAAAAGAGTGCTAACGTTAGCTAATGAAGGGTGGAAAGTGTCAACTCAAATTGAAGGAAGAGTCCAGCTACCACAAGACAGAGAGATGAAAAGAATGTCTGGCGCATTGAGGGAAGGAGCTGGTATATTACAGTGGACTGAATATTGCTTTGGAAGCAAAGGCAGATTTGGAGGTTACTAGGGAGGTAACAATTGGAGTTAACAATTCCTTGTTACAGGTCAGTGTGGTGGCATATTCCTGCCTCTCACCAATTTTAGGAAGACAGCTTCTGGGAGTTTGTGGCACCAGCATGTAGCCAATTAGGTAATAAAGACATTCTTCACATGCTGCCTGACAGTACCACAGGAGGCCACTCTGTCCATCATTGCCAGTGCCACCTCTTAGAAAGGATCCTTGTCAGTGCCACTCCACTGTTCCTTGCCTAAAGTGAAACAATACCTTTCTCCTTTCCACTATTTGCCTTTAATAGACACATAGCTGCACAATAATTCTTGTAGTTTTCCTGAATTCTAACCAAACAAATTCTGTCTTGGAACTCTCCCTTTCTACTGCTGCAATAATATCTTTAATCGATACTACCATGCTGTTTCCTTTTCATGCTTCTCAACTTTTCCAATATACACTTGTAGCCAGGAATGTTAAGAACTTAGTCCTCCCCTTGATGAGCCAGCTCTCGAATAGTGCAGCTTTATCTTAAATTCCATGTGGTTATTTGCTCTTTCACCTTACCCTTACTGAACCATGTTGGGGCGTTTAGTCCCATGCTTTCCAAGCCCATCTTTTATCTGCCTTGCATTCCCTTCCCACCTCCCCACCACCCACCCTACTCTTGTGTCTGATTCTTTTTTTCATGTGAATCAGTCGTAAATCTATTGTTGTTTGTATTTCCCGGTTGTCTGTACATCATCCCCTCTCTAATATTTCACCACGGTGCCCCTCCTACTGCTAAATTAGTTCGAGCGAAATGGTCATGGCAGTAAAAAATATCTGTCAGTTTATATGCTTCGAAGTTTCTTTATGGAATGAATTTGAATGATTTGAAACTATTTACTGGAAACCAATGTGTATGCAATTAGAAACTGGCCAGCTCCCTGCCCACATTGAGAGAAACAGATGTTCTCTTGAACAAAGGGAGGGGTTTTGGATTGTTTCACTAAAAGCGTAGTCATCTTGGAAAGTGTCTCCATGGGCTAAACTGGGTTTCAATCACCTTCTTTGAAGTATAAAGGTGAACAGATTAAGATTCTTAATTTGATTTATTTGAAAGAAGTGCAGTCAGTTCTTGCAGTTAAAACATTTATGGATGACCAGCTGCAGGTTATAAGGTAAAGTGATAACTTTTAGAATGATATTTTAAACACTGGTTTCATTTCTAAGTAACAATTGCTGTAGTCACAACTGTAACTCTAGAGGCTTCACAAAGCTAATAGTTTCCAGCTGTGTACTCGTTACATACATTTTCCAAACCAGTTTCTTGCATAATCTATGATCAATTCAGTTGAAGGTCACAGATGCCCTATTAATTTACTGTTAACCATCCAGGCCTTGGCGTGGACTTACCGTTACAACATGGCAAAGGATGAGACATCAGACTTGGCAGCCTCTTCGCAGATTGTCCTTACTGGCCACATCAAGTATCATTCATACCAAACCTGTCAGGACTGAGAGCATCTTTCCTTACGCAACGTTAATGTGGTTTTAGGTTTTTGGCAGGATGTCAGGCTAGATACCAAGAGATTCAATGTTTTATAAATAGACCTGGCAAAGTAGGCAATATGTACAAGCAGATCAGATTGACATTATTTCATTTGCAACATGTGACTAAGCCAGCATGGAACAATAAAACAACAGTGAAAGAAATATACCGTAACTGAACCATATGTTCGTGAATGACTTTATTTGTACAAAGTGAACTTAGATACTGCTTATTTGAAAGATCTTGAAAGCCTTTATGTCAATGTATGTGTAAATATAAATATGTTTGTTCTTCTATTTACATTTTCGATATTAACGGCATGCTCAGAGTATACCTTAGTTAAAGATCTGTGCTAGAAGCCTGAAGAAAGTTCATCAGTTGCTGTGATGCAACATAACATAATATGTTGCTATGAGAGGAAACTTAATGTTCAAGAGGAGCAAGCTTCAAAAGGGAAAGTTTTTTTTCATTCTTAGCTTCTTTTATATTTATATCTGCAATTAGTCACATTTCAGAAGATGAGCAGCCTTCTTAATTTGTTTTTTTCAGATGGAAATGAAGACACATTCATAATCTGAATAAGATCACTACATTCAATAAACTGTACAACCTTTATTTCTGTAATTTCCTCAAAGAAGGCAAAGGGACAACCACATAAAACCCTTGCACGTATGTTGTTAATTGTACCAAGTAAATAGAAGTACATGTAACATAAAGACATGTGAAGCCTCTAAAAAGAAACGCATGTAAGGATATTTTTGTCTTTTTGGTGATGGTTTTGTTTGAAGTTGTTTTCTAAGGAAATGAGCGGGTTTGTGGTGAAAGCAGTTTTATTTTCATCAGATTTTTTAAAAATTTATCCAAAAGAGAACCAAATTTCAAAGAAGGAAATTTAGTGCCTAGCCAAGATTGGGAGAAAGTAAATTATTGAATTTTGGTTAGTACCTCAGGTCGCTTTTGCTAATAAACATAAACAAAACTGAGTCAACATAGTTTAATATGTAAAGAAACAGCGAAATTTGTCTCAGGATTCCTCAGCAATAGCATTTTCATCTATATAATTTCAAACTCTTTGAACTTGATTGCTGCTGCAACTCCTGGTATCTCATGGGTGTATTGAGATGACATTTTTAAAAATGAACTGCACGAGTTTTCTTTTCATGGGAAATTAAATTTCAATGTTTATAATTTGTCTTTACAGGAAATGTGGAGTCAAAACCTCACCCACAAAGAATGGTGAGAATGTGCAGATTGATGAAAGACAAGCTGCAATAATTTTCAAGTACAAAGTTAGAAAATGTGAGCTTTTTTAAATTGCTTCAACTATTTTCAGAAATAAATTATTATGAAAAAGATATTAATTTATGATGTTTAAAAGGAAGTTATTCAATAAAATGAACAATCTTGTTTTAAAAACATGGCTTCTACATTGGCAGGAGACAAAGAAAAATGTTACATTCTCTGAAGGTTGAGTGGATACATGTCTGTTATAAAAGTCCATAAAAATATAAGGTTTGGTTCCTTTGCGGTACTGAAGTGGCTAGTTTCAGCTGAAGGCACAGAAAGGGTAATGATAATATTACAACTTGCTTCAACTATTCCAAACCAGAGAAGGAGAAAAGCAGGCATAGTTCCGATTAACTGTTGACAATTCAATAATCCCTGTTGACATGTTGATATAAAGATAAAGGCACCGTTTTTTTCAGGTAAGAGAATCCCATGGTCAAATGGCCTTCCAAAAATCATTGGCACTGAGTTTTGTGGAGTCGGGTTGAGTCTGAGGCCATTGAACAATGGAATTACCACTTCTAAATACAACACTTTTTGTTGTTCTGAGAACCCATATCCTGTGTTATCACTTAATATGGTCTGAGAGAATGTCTGAGACCTAATAGAATAAGGGAACAGATGACGAATGTATTATTTAAGGATTATTTGGGCTGGAATTGGTTAGATAAACATGGTTGAGCTAGTTATCAGAGAGATGTGAGTTTTATGGAGTATGGTTAGCAAAAATAAAGCTCTCGCTAAAAGTGTGGAGGTGGACTCAGTTTAAGCGAAGTTATCTTCCAGAGTATAACAGTGGTAACAGGGGATAGTTGAGCCAAAATGTGAAATTTTGGAGTCTGCTTATCCACTTATTTCTATAAATGAGCCTTATGAACAATGGAAGAGTTAAGTTACAATGTAAAAACCGTAACTGGAAAAGATCAGAGTTAATGTTTCGGGTCCAGTGACCTTTCTTCAGAACAGGAAGGGTTCTGAGGAAGGGCCACCAGACCCGAAACGTTAGCTCTGATGTTTTTCTTCACAGATGCTGCCAGACCTGCTGAGCATTTTCAGCAACTAATGTTTTTGTTCCTAAGTTACAATGTACCTGGGTTACTTCATTATCAAAGAGGTAGCAAAGTATAGCTTTTAGGACTTTCGTTAGCATGCAGACGCACAGCTCTTATGAATATGGAACTGGATGATTTGAACATGGATGAAGATTTAGATAGTTTATTAACTTTCACGGATAAAATTTATCAAAGATATGATTTATTGACTGATTATGAGGCATTGTGAGATTTTGACAAATTAAGAAAGATCAAGGATAGTACCATGGAAAAGTACATAATGGAATTCAGTAGGTTTTATGCAAGAGTGCACAATTTCATTTGGAATCTATGCTGGAATTTAAATTATTGGACTGTCCCAAAGTATCAAGTATGGGCAGACATCTAGTTTGGATGAGAATTAAGTTTGCAGATAAACATTTGCTGCTCAAATAAGCTTCAGAAGGACAAAAAAATTCCTAGAAAAGCATTCTTTTCCAACAGTGTCCATAGCACAAAGGTGGCAATTAGCAATATGTCAGAAAATAGAAGACCGAATATTAACAAATTGGCAAGATTGTCTCGATACTGGTTACAGTATGATAGGAGAAATGTAGCGAATTGAAATTAAAACAGAAATTCAATTGGTAATTGTTTTAGGTGTGATTCCAAGTACAGGGACTGCTCCAGGTGACATGATAAAGTATTCAAAACTAAACATCAAACGGATGATTTGGAGGAAGAAACTGGATATAGTTCAAAGAGAGGGCATTGTATTGGCCACAAGAAGTTTCAGTCCAGTGAAGAATGCACTGGCGTCAGTATCATTCAATTACGCCATATTAGATAGTGGATACACATCAACTGTACCTGTATGTGGAATAGACCAATTAATGTCACCCAGACTGTTGGAACCAATAAGGATCAATACAACGTTAAAGATTTTGAGAGTTCCTCTGGTTCAGATTTGGTAATGATAACACATTAAAATCCTTGAAAGGAGTGGTAATTCTTCGTAAAATAGACAGAATCAATTGTTTTCATTAGCATGAATGCAGTGTCCCATGAAAAACCATTGTTATTAAGTCAGCCTTCGATGAAGATTGCGCAGAGACAAAGCTGGATTAAAATCCTGGATCTGTCTCCTTAAGAGCATAGTGGGGGCTATCTACAGCAGATAGACTACAGTGGTTCAAGAAGGCAGCTCACCATCTTCTTCTCAAGAGTAACTATGGATGAGCAATAAATGCTGGCCCAGCCAACAACATATACTTCCCATAAATTAATTAAACAAAAGATGAAACTAGATATAGAAAACAGCAGTGCTACAGCATTTGGACTAACTTTAAATTTGCAATTTACACAACTGGGACACTGTTGTATTACTTTAATTGAACATAATAACTGCATCAAAAGTATTAAAGAAGTGTTCTTGATATCAGGGGATAAAAATTTGGAAAACTAAAAGTCAGTTGTGTTTGAATTACATTGGCAATTTGAAAACCGAAAGAACTGTGGATGCTGTAAATCAGGAACAAAAACAGAAGTTGCTGGAAAAGCTCAGCAGGTCTGGCAGCATCTGTGGAGAAAAAATCAAAGTTAATGTTTCGGGTCCGGTGACCCTTCCTCAGAACAGTACAGCAGATAGACCACAGTGGTTCAAGGTTCAGTGGTTCTGAGGAAGGGTCACCGGACCTGAAACATTAACTTTGATTTTTTCTCCACAGTTGCTGCCAGACCTGCTGAGCTTTTCCAGCAACTTCTGTTTTTGTACATTGGCAATTTACCCATCCATCCTTTCAAAGGTTAAATTTTTAGTAAAAATTGCAGGAATAAGGGATGGGGGTTATGATAAGCTTATGCAAGAGTTAAGTGATAGATCTGAGATTTATAGGAAATATTAAAGCACACCAACAAGGTCTATAGCAATTTTGTTCTTAGTAGGAGATTTCAATGAGGTATTGACTATGGATTTATAGATTTGGGATAAAGAAAACGAACGATTTTCATGTTATATTTTGGAGATTTGTTATTCATATTTTGTCAGTTAGCATTAATATTAAAGATAAGCTATTATTAAAGATAAGAAAATAATTTTGAATAGGGAATGGAAAGTGAATAGTGACTGGACTTGAGCTGCCAACAAATCATCTTACTGATAATGGGGGAGGGAGTGTTGGCTAACAATGAATTTAGAAATATGTACATAAAAATGAACATAATATTTATGAATAAAAAGTCACTTTAGCAATGAATTGTGTGTAAAGGACCATACAGTGGTAGGCAAAACAGTTCACAAAATTTTGGCAGATCAGCCAAATGTAAATTATTGTTTGAGCTAGTGTGGACTGAATATGCTGAGAATTTGTTGCAGATGGTAGGAGGATATAATCCCCATCAGTTTATTTGTGGTAGGGATCCTAAAAACTCCATCGGCAATAAGTGCTTATTCCCCAGCTTGGGAAGAGGTTATAATTAGTCTTACTTTTTCAGATCATTTGAATGCACTGCACCCAGTCAGAAAGGCTTTTATTAAAGTCAAAGCCTCAAAGATTTCGGCAAGCCTTAACTTATATTAAGGCCATAAAGACCCAGTCTTAACCAGGGAGATATAAGAGAGAGGGGCTTTAAAGAATGGGGAGACAAGGTTATTGGTAAAGATAGAAAAGTAATAATTACACAGGACAGAAATCAGATTGTTCAGTTATACTCTAAAGGTGCTTGCTATGGATGACAAACGTTCAGATTCTGAAGAAGCTATAGAAAATAAGAAGGATTAAGGTACTTTTCATATCCAAATGTCACACAGCTATGAGGCTCAAACTGCAATTGACAGTTTGTCTGATGATGGATCGATCAGTTCTGATGATCAATATGAGGCCATACTGAAGTTGAATATTTATAACAAGGGTCTAGTCAATAGAGAAATGTGATTACTTCAAGTAGAGCGGGGAAGGTCACTGGAAATTATAAAAGCTGGACAAATGTATAGGATGATGGATAGGAGGTTAGAACTATGGATTGGAAACATGAAAATATGAAGTACAAAAATGGAAGGCAAAAAAACATGGTGTAAGCTGAAACAGTGGTTCTGGGAATGAACATGGCCCTAGAAAACAATCACAAAATGTTAAAAGAAATCCTCTTAATAGGAATGGGAGTAGCAGAGTAGAGATGGATTGAAGAGTTAGAGGGTGTAGTTTAACAAGGACAAGAAATACAGTATAAACCAGGAGTACGATCAGGTTAGAAACCAGAGATCAGGAAGTCTTAGTGTTCATGAACAAACCAGAAGACAAGCTAATAAAAGATGTTAAACAACGAGAATTACAAAGCTGGAGGTATTTTGGGCTATACAAAGAGGTGCCAAATAGGGGACAAGTAGGCCTACTACATAGGTAGAAATGAACAAAAACAAGGGATCTTCTGAGGGGATTATAAGGCTGAAGCAAGGATAGTGACTCAAGATTTAAAAATAAATCCAGAGACCAAAATATAAGAGCAGATTAAGGCAAAAAAGCTTTTAATTTTTTTTGGCTTTGTTAGGAACAATGGTTCTGAATGGAGATCAATTGACAGTAAAGCTTCTGTCAAGAGATGAGCTCAAGAGGGAGATCTTTCTTCGCCCTCCAAAGAAGGCAACAAATACAGTGGGGACACTCTGGAAATGAAATAAATATGTACATGGCTGAAATGATGTCTCTGGAGTTTGATTCTTCTCAGTATGATCGATCTTATTAATATTGGCCTGTCTTCAGTTAAAAGACAAACCCTGGTATGTTGTGCTGTTATGAGAGGCAGCTTTCAGGCATCTTTATGATACTTGTAGATGATTTATTCTGTGGAGTGGGAGCACAATGTGAAATTGTAAACATTGTCATAAATTGGCTTAAGGCAGAATTCACAATCGGAAGTCAGGCTTCTGGGGCTTTTGGATTGGAAATCAGATAGAATAGATCAAGTGTCACCTTGGATCAGCAGTCTTATCTGGAAAGTGATAAATCAGAACAGGACCTCATTTAAAAAAAAATGTAGCAAGTTTCAAAAACTGATATGGAGGAATTGCAAAGTCTAATTGGATAATTGAATTACCCGGGCACAAAAACAAGACCAGATGCCAGTTCTGAAGTATTAGAGTTGGGCACCACTATGAAAAATCCCAAGGTGGAAGATATTATTCAGGCAACAAAATATTTTTTAAAAATTCAAGATTGTAATGTGAGGTTTTTATCATTGGGAGAGCTAGGAATTTGAAATTTATTGTTTTTAGGGATGTTTCTTATGTAAAAGTCTGTGATAGGATCTGAAATGCAGGAGGGTCAATGTTTTTTTCTTGTGGAAAAGGTGAGTAAATTTTGCCCTGTAACTTGAGAAGCTCAAAAGATCAGAAGTAGAAAGTACCTTAGTGGTAGAAACTCTTGCTCTTATCAATTGAGTGCTGAATTGATAATAAGGCCCTATGAGATAATACGCACTCAACAAAATGTGTCAATGAAAGAAACAACTGAGGATCAATATTGAAGTGTTAGGACAGATGCTGGCGAATGGAGAAACGTTCATATTGGAATGAGTGAATAGCAGAAGTCAACTGATTGTTTTACAAAGAAAAGGAACTGTTGGACATTTTGGGAACGGATGCTTGAAGCTTTAATGTGCAAAGAAAATATAGACATATAATTTGCTGTCATTTTGTATGTCTTGTTTGTTTTTTATTAGTATATATAGATTTATTTAGAAAGAAAATATCATCTGGTATGGTTTGAAGAAATGTTACAAGGCCTCATGACCGAGAGGCCTAATGGAATGAGAGAGCAGCTAATGAATATATTAATTAAGGATTAATTGGTTATGAATTGATTTAATAAATATGGGGAGCTAGTAATCAGTGGGAATGAGATTTATTGAACAGATACAGAGAATGCTGGAGAAACTTAGCTGTCTACAAGTTCGCTAACAACATCACTGTAGTGGATATCTAACAATGACGAGTCAAAATACAGAAGTGAGGTAGAGGGCTTGGTGACATGGTGCAATGAAAACAGTCTGTCTCTCAACGTTGGCAAAACTAAAGAACTGAGCATCAACTTCAGAAAGAAAGGAGGACAACACGCCCATAACTACATCAACGGAACTGAGGTTGAGAGAGTGAAGAGCACCAAGTTCCTCGGAGTGAAGATAACCGACGACCTGTCCTGGACTTCCCACGTAAATATGACAGTCAAGAAGCACAACAAAGCCTCTTCTTCCTCAGGAGGCTCAGGAAATTCAGCATGTCCGTAAGGTCCCTCACCAACTTCTACAGATGCACTATTGAAAGCATACTGTCTGGGTGCATAACGGCCTGGTATGGTAACTGCTCTGCCCAGGACAGTAAGAAAGTACAGACGGTGTAGTGCACAGCCCAGAGCATCACTGAAGCCAACCTTTCATCCATGGACTCCACTTACACGGCTCACTGCTGCAGTAAGGCTGCCAACAGCATCAAAGATCCATTGCACCCTTGTAATGACCTCTTACAACCTCTTCCATCAGACAGAAAATACAGAAGCCTGAATATATACATGAGCAGTTTCAAGAACAGCTTCTTTTGGGCAGTTATCAGACTGTTGAATGGACTCTAGCCTTAAATAATGTAACCTGCAATGTAACCTGTATGCCTCTGAGTCTCTCTGATCTGTACATCCTTTGCTTCCTGTGATCTGCCTGTACCATTCATAAACAAAGCTTTTCACTGTATTTCAATACACATAACAATAAATCAATCAATCAATCAGATACATGGAATGCAGCCACTTGCGATTTCCTCTCCAACATTCTAACAATCCTGACTTGGAAACTTATCACTGTTCTTTCACTCTCAATGGATCAAAATCCAGTAACTCCCTTTCTAAAGGCAATGCGAGTGTGCCAACACCAATTGAACTGCAGCAATTCAAGGAGGTAACTCACCACCAGCTTCTCAAGGGAAGTTAGGGCTAGGCAATAAATGCTGGCCTATCTACATCTATACCTAGTGATATCTACGTCTTCTGAATTAATAAAAACATTCTTCTTCTTGTGAAAATAAACATACAGGCATTGACAAAAGAGATCACAGAAAGAATAACTTATTATAGCCTCATAGAAATATCAAACAAACAAAGGAAACACTCTAGTTCTGAGGAAGATCTCCGGACCCGAAATGTTGACTCTGATTTTTCTTCACAGATGCTGCCAGACCTGCCGAGCTTTTCCAGCAACTTTTGTTTTTGTTTCTGATTCACAGCATCCACAGTTCTTTCGGTTTTTATTAAAGGGAACACTCTATTTCAATTTGTTCAAACAAACTCCTTGGAGTCTCGGACTTGACACAAGCATTCACATGGGGCTCACTTGGTGAACCAGGTGTCACGGCCTCTGTTCCTATTGATCCAGTTCCTAGAAGGATTCATTGTAATGTCATGCATGTAGGCAAGCTTAAGGAACATTAAATGGGTAAAATGCCTGTTAATTATACTGCAATGGCCCTTCGCTGACAATTTCATTGGTTGATAGGATCAACAGCCATTCTCCAAACAAATTTCTGAGTATATGGCTTTTTCCTCAGCCTTTCAAAATTTGTCAATGTTGATTATATTATGTTGATGAGCATGAAGGTGACATGGAGACAGTGGAGGAGGCAAGGTGCTAGTCGTGGGTGTTAAGAGAATGAGAGGATGTGAAAATGTGAGCTAGCTTCCCTTATCACAATTAATACAACGGGGTGAAGTCCCAGTGAATTGAGGAAAATCAGCTTCTAAGCAGGTTATCATTTGAACCAGTCCTGGGTCTGTCTACCACTTGTTAAAATTGTTAAATTCCGAATTTTCCTAGTAATTACTGTGCAGCATATGATTTAATTTAACAGCTATTTCTGTCGCAATTAACTTTTCAAAATTCTGGCATGGGGAAACAAAAGGGAATAATTCTGAGGTGCGCAGGTATTACGACATGCATTGAACTCTCAACAATTTATCTGGTGCCAAATGTACCCTATTATCAATGTATTCTTTACAAAAATAAAAAAAAGGTTTTGTTCTTAGATAGAATGAAAAGTAACTTTCAAATGGAGGTGGGCAAGGTGGCAATGGTCATCTGGCATCCTATCTATTGGCCAGATGGGTTTTGACAATTAATTGACACAGAGAAAATATAATGTAACAAGAACTGATCGCAAGCAGAGGGGAGTTCTCATCAAGCAGACCCTGTAGGCAGCAGTTCTCATTGAGTGGTCCCCACAGAGTAATCTTCATCCAGCAATCCTCATTAGGCAAATGGAAGATGGAGCAGAAGAAGAGGAGGTAGAGTTCCCAAACACCTCAGCTCGAGAGCAGGAATGGTACTCCTACAACTTTACTGAGACCAAAACAATCTGCGCTGTCAGCCTGTTTGTCCTCTGGTATCGGTGAGCCACGCAATTATCTTGGTATAAATGTCCTTTATCTAATTAACTAATATATCATACATAAATTGCTGCTTCTTAAGAAACTCAATGAACTATCAGAAATTTATTTACAAATTGCTGACTGCCTTTAATAGGAAACTGTGATCATGAACCCCTAAAATTAACATACATTAGCTGTTCTCCAGTACTCTGACACCTCCCCGGTGGCCAAAGAGACTTAAAAAATTAGGTCAGATATCCTGTAATTTCTTCCCTCACCTCCCACAGCAACCTCAGATAATACAATACAATTCAATACAGCACAGGAACAGGCCCTTTGGCCCACCAAGCGTGCGCTGATTCTAATCCTTATTTAGACCTGCTACTTACTGCCTATGTAGGTTTCTGTCCCTCTGGTTGGCTTCCATTCATGTTTCTGTCAAGATACGCATTAATCATTGTTAACTGCTTCCACCATCTCTACTGGCAGTGTGTTCCAGGCACCTACCAACCTCTGTGTGAAAAATTTTCCCCGCACTTCTCCCCTAAACTTTCCTCCTCTCACTTTGAACCTGTGCCCTCTTGTAGTTGACTTTTCTGCCCTGGGACAGAAATCTCTGACTATCCACGCTATCCATGCCATTTGTAATTTTGTAGGCCTTTACCTCTCAGATTGCTTCTTAGCCTCCGTCTTTCCAGTGAAGACATTCTGAGTTTATCCAACCTTCCCTTATAATTAAAACCCTCCAGACCAGGCAGCATCCTGGTAAAACTTCACTCCACGCTCTCCAAAGCATCCATTTCCTCCTAGTTGTGTGGCGATCAGAACTACACGCAACTTCCAAATGTCGACTAACTAAAGTTTTGTACAGCTGTAATATAATTTGCCAACTTTATACAAACAGACACAAATAGACAATTGCATAAACTCTCAGACAATTCCCCTATCTCTCCTGGATCAAGACTCCACCGCTGAACATCGAGATGTTTTCAGGACTGTCACTGATCTCAAGTCCTCTGGAGATTTCCCCTCCACAGCTTCCCAACTCATTGTCCCTCAGCCCCTTTTAGCTCACTTCTACCTCCTTGCCAAGGTCCATGATCAGGACTGCTCTGGCATACCCATCATTTTAGCCTGTTCCTGCCCCACCCAACCGATTTCTTATTATCTTGACTATTTTTCCCCTCTTGGTCAGTCTCTTCCTATTTACATTCAAGATTGTTTTGATGCTTTATATCGGTTCCACAATTTCC